TCATATCAATTGTTCCAAGTTGACCTCTTTACTAAGGGTTAAGTTGACCTTGAGGCTGAGGTATCTCACCTTTATTACCTTAGGGCGGGCTCTCTAATCTATTCAAGATGTTTCTTAGAGAACGACCTATTCTTGGGACGTGAACTCCATCATGTTAATGAAGTCTCTTATTTTTTTGGATTTGTCTTACTAGATCCAAAAGTCAAAAATAGACCTGATGGTACACACTTCCCCAAGCATGAGGCACTACACGTAGGACGAAGTGTTTTAGTCAAAATTCCATGACATTACACAATACCTTAATCATGAGGTGCATATGGGCGAAATACTTTTGTTAAAATTCTATGACATTACATGTGATGATCTAGACCATAGATTGTAGGTTCATGATGATATTAAACGATTAGTTAAGTGATGAAATTAGGTTTATTTGATCACTATAATTGATTAAGTTGGCAAATATATGGCAATCAATCTATAGAATAATAAATATCGATTTATGGAATTTCCAAAAATAAAATCGATTTATGGAGTCTAAACTTTGAATTTCTATAAGCAGTTGATTTTTAAGTGATTAGAAGCTAAACAATATTAGTAATGTTTATCTTTTCCATAAGTGCTTTTAGAGAAACATGAATGCAAGGGTCGTCCAAGAAAATATAAAGGTAAAATACTTCAGTTCATCTAGACAACTCCCTTTAGATGTCAACATTGTGGACTTTGTAACAAGTATAAAATAAGCAACATTTGAGGAAGAAAATCTCATCAATCCAACTCAATCATTTATGTGTTTGTTTGGATTGAGTTTGTGGAATGTGCATAAAATAGAAAATAATTTTTTGCTATTTTTTTTATTAATTCTAAAAAATTGCTGCAGAGTTCAATGTAACTACACATATTTCCAACACTTATATATGATCAAACACATCATATAATGTCTAATAAAATTAATTCATATGTCATATGACTATAATAATAGCAAATTCTATAAACACACATCATTTCTATAAAATTTAAAAGTTGTAAATGATATAAAATCAAATAAGCAACAACCATTATGTAGGTGTAAGCCTTATAAGCCAATAGTTTTTTTAAAACTTGATACTTGTATCAAAATATTTATTAATAATAAAAGAAATTTCTTTATCATATTTATTTTTCCAAAATAAAAAAGTCTCTAGAATATCTAGTCTTTTTAATAATATATTAAGTGTGGCTTAATTATGCGACTCCATTAAACACAAAAACACTATTTTTGAAGTATTTTTAGTCCAACTTATTGTGAAGGGAGATAACACTAAAGTATCAGGACTATTTAATGGATAAATATAAAGAGTTATCAAATCTTCACATAAGTATAAAAATTAGTAGTAATATTTATACTGGATTGATCCACCATGAGAATAGTACATATAATGTTATGCAAGTGTCATAAGTTATTCTCAAGGTGATAGTGGTGGGTACCACCCTTCGACCTGAAACCACTATGAACTTTAAATATGGAGTCAACTTTATTGTCAATCAAACAATGCCTATATCAGGATGACTATAAAATTGATTAACGTATACTCTACAAATCATGTTGAGAGACACGAGTGACTTATATAGAATTGCCTATTCTACATAAGAGGATATATGTCTAAGGACTGAATGTTGAACTGAACAAGGGTAACATGGTATGTGCATTGTGTTCAATATAAACATGAGAGAAAAATGGTAATTGTACACACAAACATTATCACAAAAAGATTTTATTTTATCACATGACATTTTTGTTCACTTGGATAACAGTGATGAGTTGCTAGGTATTGCTTATTGTTTATTATATTAAATGTGCAATTTAATATAATTGTCAACGTCACGAGAACCTATAGGGGCACACACATAAAGACATATTAATTTAAGATAGAATGGATAAGTGAAATATGAAACACCATAAAGTACAATGTACTTAAGCAAATTATAGAACACCGTAAGTTACCACACACTTAAGTGAATTGTAGAACACCGTAAGGTACAACGCAATTAAGTGTAATACAAATTACCGTAAGGTATCTTGTACTTAAATGAAATACAATATATCGTAAAGTATTGTGCACTTAAGTGAGTTGTTTTAGGTTGCAGCCCACACAAGCAATTCTATAAATATAATAGAACCCTTACATCAAAAGTGTTAATTGTCATACGAGATAAACATTTCTATCACTGATCATATATCATTCGTAAAAATTGACTTAAGAAAAATATTTGTTTTATGTTGTAATTTATATCATAATTTCCCTTTAACTTAAACCTGCTTAGATAAACAACTTATATGAAGCTTATAACACAAATGCTTAAAAAAAGAGCCTATAAATAAAATTACATAAAATATTTTTATAATAAAAGATAAAAAAATTTAAGTTGGTTTGTTATACGATATAAATCATTTTTATAAATTATCTTAGAAAACTTATAAAAACAAATTCAAGAAAGTTTATAAAAAAACAAATGTCATAAGTCATTTTGATAAGATCTCACAATCAATGTTACAAAAATTATGTTATTAGATAAATTTAACTAAGTCGATTCAAACATACACTTAAACATTATTCGAAAGAGTTTTGGTTTTTAGTTTTTAAAAAACTATTTTAAAAATCAATTTTAAGAAATAGTTTAGAAGAAAAAATATAAAATAAAACATGTTTGGTAATCTTATTTTTAAAAACTCTTTTAAAGTTGTACAATATTACAAATTTGTCACTAATAAAAAATATATTATTTTTTTAATATTTTAATTTTTTAGTTTTTAAAACTCTTAAATGAAGATTATTTTTCAAAAATAATTTTGTAAAATTAAACCACCAAACTAATTTTATTATTTTCAAATTTTAAAAATCAAAAAACAATTTTATAAAACCAAATTAGTTTTAAGAATTTAATTGATTTATATCGACAATGTAAAGATTTTTTAACATTGTCAGTTAATCACAACCGCTTATTTATTTGAAAGATTTGACTTTTATTTTAACCATTTAAAAAATAATACAAACAGATGATTCTGATACATCGACATTATAAAATCTTTTACACTAACATTGTATAACAATTGATCTTTAGTTTTAAAATTGAGAAAATGAGATATGTAAAAAATTTATACTGTCAACCAACCACCATCATGTATCCCACAACATCAGACGATCAATTTAAAATTAATGATATGATATGACGGATTGATGAATTCCTATTAGATAATAATGTAAAATTATTTTAGACTGTGAATGCATACCAATTAAACCCTTTAAAATTATAAAAAATTCTTATATACTCTATCCATTTCAAAATAGCTGCTGTTTAAGATTTTTTTCACAAAAATTAAGGAATGCAATTATATTGTCATAAGATATTTCTACACTTTTACTAAATTAGTTTTATTAATGTGTTTGAAATATTGTATATAGTAATAATTAAATGACACAATTGAAAAAATATCAATTATTATTCTATTAAAAACTGAGAATGACGTTTATTTTAAAAATAATTTTTTTTCTTTAAAACGACATTCATTTTAAAACGGAGGAAATTTCAAATAAATTCTGATAAGTTTTCTAAAAAAAATTCATTTATAAAATGAAAAGAACTTTTGTAATTTGGACAAATAAGAAGGGTAGTATTGGGAACAGAACATCAAACAAAGAAGATTTTCCATTAATATAAAACGCTATTTTGTTATCGCACTATTTGACTTGTGCAGCAACTTAACACCACAATCAATTTTCCATTTCAATTTTAAGGTATAACAATCTCTATTTCATTTTCTCACTTCTCATTCTTTTTCTCTTACTTCTTTGTTTATATTTTCATTTTCGTTAATTTTCCTTATGCATTCTTTTTCTCTTACTTCTTTGTTAATTTTCATTTAGGGTTTTGCTTGCTACGGGTTCGTTTTTAATTGAGGATTTTATCAATATTTAGTGATGTTAATCAGTGGCAAAGTGTTTGAATTTTAGTTTGTTGATCGTTCAATTTAGTTGTTAAGTTCATTGTCATGTTCATGGTTTTGAATTGGGTCTTCTGGTTTTTGCAATTGGAATTAGCATAACGAACTTGCTTTATATTTATTTATGATAGTTTTTCGTTTTTCTCTGTTTAATTTAGTGATATATGTAAGCTTGCTTTGAGTGAATTGTATCATCTATCTCCAAGGTTCAATCAAGGTTTAGGGTTTGAGTTTGGCTGTTTTAATTTATAGGAAAAAATCTTTAGGAATTTATCAAGTAATTGACAGTTAACTTACTCGGTTGTTAGTTTTTTGGTGGAGTCAATTAATTTGGTTATTCTGACACCCGTGTTGACATGGGTGCTTCCAGGTTCGATCCACGACAGTATAAAAAAAAATGCTTTGCTAGTTGCAGCCACAAACTGTCATTATAATGATTGGTTTTTGGTTAAAAGCTTTAGGATACACTGGATCTTGGATAAAGGAAAATACTTTGAAATTAGAAACATATGTTACAGAGCGATATTTTGAATTGCCGATATCTGTAGTGGCGGAATATTTTGGATTGATGATAATCTTTAGTTTCTAGTTCTTGTGGATTCTGTAGAGTTTTTTAGGCTTATAGAATGTGTTGGGTTGTCTATGAAGTATATTCCTTTACTTTTGATGGGTGTGAATGCAAGACTATATAAACCATTGGAAGTATGAATAATAGTTAAGAAGACGTTCTTTTTTGTTTAGATTCTTCTGTCATTAAATTCTTCTGTTTCATTTTGCTCTATCAATTTTATTATATGTTTCTTGTTGCCTTTGCATCCTCTAACTTGTGCGGAATGGTATTTCTGTTGAGATTTTCTTACAGTTTTTCTCTGTTTCTCCTTTGTTTTATCTTTCTTGGATTGTGTTCTTGAATCTTAAGAACTTACTGCAAAAACTTCTCATGTTTTTCCTAGGTTGATCAAGCCATCTGAGGAGTTCGTTGCATACTTTTGGTGTTTGAAGAGCTAATCTGTCTAGCAAAATGAAGTAATGGAAACAAAAACCTTCTTTTTATTTGTTTGCTTATATTATTGGTAGACTCACAGTTGAATGGCCTGCTCATTATATACGTGTATCGCAACGATAGAAACTAAGGAATCTGTATGATTTGCATAAGAAACAAATTAGTAGAAACAGAGATGAAGTACCAACTCAAACTTTATTACCAACCTTGTACACCATAATATTCTAAACATTGCAAACCTCTACTAGACCTTATCTTCATTCATTTTTCCAAAGCATTTTTGAATTGAATTAATACAGCAGTCTGGGAGTTTGGCGGTTAAACTTTCCCATGGCCCAATGTTACTTTCTGTTTATTTCAAGATAGCCTACTACAGAAATTAAGGATGTTAGTTCTTGAACCTCTATGAAACAGTCATGCATAAACACTCCCAAACACAAAACCTGATGCTGGATGCCATTTTTGTTCTTGCAACAAATCCATGATGCTTCATTATTTTTTTGAGTTTAACTGTTTAAGCACAACTACTTTGAGAACTCTTGGTTCTTGTATTGGATTCATAATAGGGAAATTCGTTCTTTGTAAAAACTGGATAACAGACTAATAGAGAGGTTTAGACAAGAGTTCAGGGCATTTCAAGTTTAAATATTCATTCAAAGTACTAGGAAGTGTAAGTGGATTCAAATTATTTAGGAAGTGTTGATATATATATATATATATATATATATATATATATATATATATATATATATATATATATATATATATATATATATATATATATATATATATATATATATATATATATATATATATATATATATATATATATATAGTGTTAAGAATATTTGTATATAAAATAGTCCCACATCGACTAGATCATGTAATTAGTTGTAATCTATTTATATATAATAATGTCTCCGTAGTGCTTTTTAAAACACACGGTTTTCAAAAAAATTCTCCCGTAACCGCTTTGCCGCCGTTACAGTTCCGACAAAACTTCCGACGACGTTTCAAAAAAAACCGATTTTGTCGTTGTCCTCCGATCCGGTCGTCGCCCTTTTTCCCGCTGCTGCCCCATCGCCCCTTTTTCCATCTGCTGCCCCAGCGCGACCGGCGGCTGATTCCGACCGTTTTTCTGCCGATCTACTTGCCTCTCCTCACCCATTCCAGATCCGGCCTCTGTTTTACTTTCCGACTCACGGAAAACGGTGCTTCAGTGCAAACAGCCCCGATTTCACTCTGTTTTTTGTGTCATTAAGCTATGGGAGACGCTGATTCTGTCTCGTTTACTAAAGTTCCTCTTATCCCATGTGAAAAACTAACCGGATCAGCAACCTATAACATATGGGCTCGTGCTGTCGATATGTGGTTTCGTGGTCAGGGATATAAAGATCACCTAACCACACAATTGACTAATGTTGCCTCCGACAAACTTGCTAAATGGAGGAAAACAGATGCCTCTCCCCTTACCGTGTTATGGTTCTCCATAGCACCTAACCTCCAAGCGCAGTATCAAGCCTTCTCCACTTGCTATGAAGTTTGGGAAAAGGCCAAAAAAGTCTTCTCCAATGACGTTCATTGTCTATACAGTGTCATACTCAAACTCGGCACACTAAAGATGGAAAATATGAATATGCAAACCTATCTGAGTAAGCTTGATGCCTTGAAAGCAAGTTACGCAACCCTCATGCTGTACGCAAAAGACGCAACAGCTCATGCCGAACAACAGAGTAAATTTTTCATGGTCATGGCACTTAAAGGACTACCATCCGAACTCGACTCCGTTCGTAACCAGATTTTATCAGGTACTACTGTTCCTAACTATGATGCAGTTAGTGAACAACTGTTGCGCTTGGCTACACCTCATGCGTTCGGTCCGGTTTCCCCTCCATCTACTGTTGCTCCAACACCAGGTGACACTGCTGCCCTCGCATCTCTTGGAAACAATCAGAATCGCCCTCGAGGAGGGTCATCCAACTCCAAACCTCGTCCCAAGTGTAACCATTGTAACCGGCTTGGACATACTATCGACCGTTGTTGGAAGCTACATGGCAAACCCCCACGCCAGGTAAATGCAGCTCAAAGTGATAACTCAGAAACTATGCAGACTTCACCTTCTATTCAGAACCCTACACCAAGCTACGAAGATTTTCTCAGGTGGTGTCAGACTAATCAGATCTCTGGTTCCACTGCTTCGGTTGCAAACACTGGTAATTCATCTGTTTGCTTCTCTCAATCAGCTCCTCTTGGTCCTTGGGTCCTTGATTCTGGTGCGTCTGATCATGTTACTGGTAATAAAAGTTTTTTTTCTTCCCTCTCTACCTCTGGTTTCTTGCCTATTATAACTGCCACAAATGGTTCTCAAACCCGATTCCAAGGGATTGGTACTGTTGAAATTTTACCATCTCTCTCTGTTACTTCTGTCCTTTATGTACCTAATTGCCCATTTAATTTACTGTCAGTCAGTCGTTTAACTCGTTCCCTTAATTGTTATATCACCTTTACTAACAGTAATGTTACTCTGCAGGATCGGAGTTCGGGACAGACGATTGGCGTCGGATGTGAGTCTCAAGGCCTCTACTACTTCTCTACGTCATCTACCACATGCTCCACCACAGATTCTCCACTCATTATACATGTGCAGTTAGGTCATCCAGGTCTTCCCAAGCTACAAAAGTTGGTGCCCAGTTTATCTAAATTATCCACTTTACATTGTGAGTCTTGTCAGTTAGGGAAACATACTCGTAGTCACTTTTCCGATCGAGTCAATAAACGAGCTGCGTCCCCTTTTGCTTTAGTTCACTCCGATGTTTGGGGTCCCTCACGTACCGTGTCTAATTTTGAATCTAGGTATTTTGTAACCTTTATTGATGATTTTTCACGTTGCACATGGCTATTTTTAATGAAGAACAGGTCTGAATTGTTTTCTATTTTTGAACAATTTTATCGAGAAATAAGAACCCAATTTGGTTTATCTATTCGTACCCTAAGAAGTGATAATGCACGTGAATATTTATCCCAACAATTTCAAACATTTGTCATCCAATGGTATTTTGCACCAAACATCTTGCCCTCCTACACCCCAACAAAACGGGGTAGCCGAACGCAAAAATCGGCACCTCGTAGAAACCACTCGGACACTACTTCTCCATGGTGATGTTCCTCTCCGGTTTTGGGGAGATGCGGTGCTCACGACATGTTACCTCATAAATCGCATGCCCTCATCTGACCTTAATAATAAAATCCCCCATTCAATCCTGTTTCCAAACTCTCCACTCCACCCAATTCCTCCTCGAGTCTTCGGGTCAACGGGTTTTGTACACAATCTCTCCCCTGACCTTGATAAACTATCAGCTCGATCACTAAAGTGTGTCTTTCTTGGCTATCATCGATCTCAAAAAGGTTATCATTGCTACTCACACACTCTACAACGATACCTCGTATCCGCCGATGTTACCTTCTTTGAGTCTGTTCCATATTTCAAATCCAGCCAAGTAACTACAGAACCTCTACGGGAAAGTATTCCCACACCTCTTCCGGAAGTCCCATCTGTCATTATCCCCCATCATTCTAGGGAACCTGACCCACTAGTTACCCCTACGGTTGACCCCCCCACTCCTCGCCCACTTCAAACATATCAGCGTCGTCACCCAAAGTCTGTCGTACTTGTCCCTGAAGTCGTATCTGTCCCTGAAGACGTACCTGTCCCTGAAGTCACTACGGACTCTCCTCCGACGCTCTCGCCATCACCGGATTCGATCCTGCAACCTGAGTCTGATCTTCCGATTGCCCTTCGAAAATGTATACGTCAAACACGAAATCCTTTTCCACATTATATTGATTTATGTTATCATCGTCTTTCCCCTTTGCAGTATACTTGTTTGTCTTCTTTGTCTTCTGTTTCTATTCCTAAAACTCCAGGTGAAGCATTATCTCACCCTGAGTGGAGGCAAGCAATGATTGATGAAATGTGTGCTCTTCAAAGCAGTGGCACCTGGGAACTGGTTCCTCTACCCCATGGAAAATCTTTAGTAGGTTGTCGTTGGCTTTATACAGTGAAGGTTGGTCCAGATGGCAAGATTGATTGATTTAAAGCTCGCTTGGTAGTCAAAGGATACACTCAAATTTTTGGGTTGGATTATGGTGATACCTTTTCGCCTGTAGCCAAGATGGCATCTGTTAGACTTCTTCTAGCCATTGCAGCCATTCGACATTGGTCTCTTCATCAACTTGACATTAAAAATGCATTCTTACATGGCGATCTTGAAGAGGAAGTATATATGGAGCAACCACCTGGGTTTGTTGCTCAGGTGGAGTCATCGAATATGGTTTGTAGGCTACACAGGTCTCTTTATGGTCTTAAGCAATCTCCGAGAGCTTGGTTTGGCAGATTCAACACTGTAGTACAACAGTTTGGTATGATCCGTAGTGAAGCTGACCATTCTGTTTTTTATCGTCACTCACCCCAAGGGTGTATTTATCTTATTGTGTATGTAGATGACATTGTCATAACTAGTAGTGATCAGCAGGGAATACTCCAGTTGAAACAACATCTCTCGAAACAATTTCAGACAAAAGATCTTGGTAAACTCCGTTATTTCTTGGGTATTGAAGTAGCCCAATCTAAAGATGGTTTGGTAATTTCTCAGCGGAAATATGCTATGGATATTTTGGAAGAAACAGGTTTGTTAAATGCTAAACCAAACGATACTTCTATGGATCCAAGTGTTAAACTACTACCCAATCAGGGGGAGCCTCTATCTGACTCAGGAAGGTATAAGAGATTGGTTGGGAAGTTGAATTATCTCACAGTCACTCGTCCGGACATTTCTTTTGCAGTCAGTGTGGTAAGCCAGTTCTTAAATTCCCCTTGTCAGGAACACATGGATGCTGTTGTCCGGATTTTGAGATACATCAAATGTGCTCTAGGAAAAAGGTCTTGTGTATGAGGATAAAAGACATACCCAGATAATTGGATACTCTGATGCTGATTGGGCAGGGTCACCCATTGATAGACGATCCACTTCTGGGTATTGTGTACTTGTTGGAGGAAACCTTATATCCTGGAAAAGTAAGAAACAAAATGTAGTTGCAAGATCAAGCGCCGAGCCAGAGTATAGGGCGATGGCAATGGCAACATGTGAACTTATTTGGTTTAAACTGTTGCTTAAGGAACTTCAAATTGAAGAAGTAAGACCAATGACACTTATTTGTGATAATCAAGCTGCATTGCACATTGCTTCAAATCCAGTCTTCCATGAGAGGACCAAACATATTGAGATAGACTGTCACTTTGTCAGAGAGAAGATCGAGTCAGGCGACATCGTCACAAGCTTTGTCAACTCTAATGATCAATTGACAGATGTGTTTACAAAATCCCTACGAAGCCCCAGAACTAACTATATATGTAACAAGCTTGGTGGATTTGACTTATATGCTCAAGCTTGAGGGGGAGTGTTGATATATATATATATATACACACACACATATGTATATATATATATATATATATATATATATATATATATATATATATATATATATATATATATATATATATATATATATATATATATATATATATATATATATACACACACACACACACACACATATGTATACACACACACACACACACACACACACACACACACATATATATATATATATATATATATATATATATAGAATAGTTCCACATCGACTATATCATGTTATTAGTTGTAATCTATTTATATATAATAATGTCTCCGTAGTGCTTTTCAAAACACACGGTTTTTTCATGTCTTAGTCTCTTGTATTTCAACAGGAAGTAAGCGAAAGTCTAAGATCTACCCCATATCACTTTGTCCTGAATTTAACTTCATTATTATAAAGAAAAGAGTAATGAGAAAAATATTCTCGACCACTTGATTATAGAGGCTACGATACTATGTCAAGGACTAACTCTACCAAAGGCCTAGGCTATTAGTTGGAGGTTATATTTGGTTTTAATATCTGAAAATAGAAACTGGTACAAAAAGCTTGAGTTGAACTAATATATAGTCTCTGAAGGGAAGGAAATGCAATGGAAGATAGGGCATCTCACTATCATATAACCTACAAAATAGGTCATAGCTGGTAAATGCTTCCAACAAAAGATACATGTGATTTTTGTTTGAGAAATCTGGGAAATTTAGGCAACCAAACTTGTGATGCAGGGATTTGTTGAGCATGAGACTCCATACTCCATATCATTCTATAAATGACGCTGATAGTATGCAAAAATGGATAGCATAAACTTCATGTTTTCATTAATTATGCATATTTGAATATGTTAGGATATAGGGCAAGGAGAAGTTTGTTAGGATTTGAGATAAGGAGTTAATTAGGATATAGAATAAATGGGGAGTTTGTTAGGATTGGAGATGTGTTAGTTAGTTATTTGTTTAGTTAGAGAAGTATTTGTATAAATAGGGGAATGCAATAACAGAGACAGGATTATTAAGTATTGTAAATATTTGTGAATAGAGCAGTCACTCTATTGTGAAGGGGAAACCATGGAGGAAAGATTTCTCTCCTATTCTCTTCTATCCTTTCTCAACTCTCAATAAATTTGTTTATTCTTTTCAATTCAATTCTTGGGTTCCTAACAGATTATGTATTTTAGAACCATTAGGGTGACCCTTATATTTTATTACTGTCCAGCCTTTAACTCATCAATTGTTTTTATTAATATGAATCTCACACTTGCTATCACATTGTAGGGGACGTGTAAGGTGGGATGAAGCTAACATTGGAGATATTGAGGCAAACAAGCCTGTGAGGCAGAAAATTACTGAACCCAAGACTCCATATCATCCTATGGTTGATGACGATTGTATGTAAAGAAGATAACGTAAACGTCATGTTTCCATTACTTTATATGCACATATGAGTATGGTTATGTGTATATACAAATAGTAGTCTAGTATTACTTAAATAGGAAAGAGGTATTTTACTTTTCAGTTTTAATTATAAATAACTATAATACTCCTTTTATTCTTGCGGGATTTAATAATTTTCAAATTTTTTGTTTCTTGGATAAATTCTAGAAATTAGTTAGTTCTCAAAATGTTTGAATTATAAACGTGAGAACATGTTTGAACGTTTGCTGTAGTTTCCAGACATTGGACGTACAAAAAAAATCTTCTAACACCCTACATTTTTAGGTTCTCTATCCCCTGTACGAGGAAGTTTTGATGCACGTATTGATGATGAAAATCGCACAACACAAGTTGAAGCAATATGGACTGCTCTGACTGATGCAGGCTCTAGTAGCAAAAGAGGCCCTGGACAATCATTTGGTTGGACATCATCTGAGGATGAGCTAGAAGCAATGGAACAAGATGATGATGGTATGATACTATTATTTGAACAAAGATCATTATTGTTGAATATTTTGTTATGACCATTATTACTCTTAACGAATGTTTCTGCTTCCCCTTCATGAGAATTTTTGTTTTATTGACTGGTGCTGTGATCCAAGTAATTGAAATATCTGAATAATATGTCTATAACGTTACCTTATTTAATAGGTAAGGATTGTAATATGGTGACGTTATAGGCTTAGTAATGTCAATCCTTTCTGATTTTACTGATCATAAGATTATACAATAGTTATAAATCTCAAATACTATATGGATATAAAATAGCATTGAATAAGACAAAAAAACCTAAAATCACACTGGAATAGTTATATAATTAAATAGGAGAAGGAGCAGCATGAAAGATTTGTACTGCCTCAATATTTTAATATAATAGCAGGATTTTTTTAACAATGTAGGAGTTACTGTGCAGTTTTTTTTTTTTGAAATGGAGTAATTGTGCACTTAATATGCATATTTTCAGTATAAATTCCTATATTCAAGGAAAAACCCTATATTTATAGCGAGCTTCGTTGACCCACAGACTAGTAACAGGTCGACTCTTAACCCGACCACTGAAACGAGTTTTCTGCTGACCCCGGGCATTTGATCGTCTTCTTCCCCCAACCCTAGTGCGAGCACCACGCTGTCTTCTGCTGTTGCACCACCGGAACCAGAATTGCAGAAATGACTTGAAAATTGTAGATCACACGTTCAACAATTAACATGTGTTATTCTCCTTGATTCCACAAAAACCCAATTCTATGTGTACCATTAATTATTGAGGGCTAGTACAATTGTACAATCGTGCGATTTCACGATTCACATCAAAATTTTTACTAGCATGAATCAGGGACCAAGATCTGCCACCTTTGGTTTTCATACCTTTGATACCTTTCCCTCTACATCTCTCTAAATAATATTTCTCTCTCATCTAAACCTAGTTTCAAAATGCACTAAAGGAGGGAATCCTTTCCCATGGCATTTCGGCATAGGTAGTTATGGAATCATGGATTTTGCGAGACGTAGCAAGACACACACACACACGCACACACAAAAGGACTTGTTCTCCTACATATCTTACCTGAACTTTCCTTGATTTGTAAATGTTGTTAAGGTTCTGAAACAGATAGGAGCAGAAGCTTTAGAAAGTTAAGAAAGGCCCATTATGATGAATTTCTTAAAGTGAAAGAGCATCGAAACAAGAGCTCTCATGTTGAAGATGAAAGTGATGAGGATGATAATACTGAACTTGGCAAGGGCGAGAAGAAATGTGATTCATGTTCACTAAGTGATAGTGTAAAAGATATCGACATTGAAGGGGGAAAGTCTTCTACATCTCCAGCTAACGGTTCTTAGACACTGATCAACAAGAAATAAAACTTACCTTCATGTTTTTTATTTTATTTTGTGGGTTGGGAAACAACTAAATGAATTCCTGTATTTTTGTATCATTAGTGCGTAAATATTTTTATTTCTTTCTTGACTATATCTGTTCATGCAAACACTTACATAGTCTGATTTCACTCTTAGCAAAGAGACTCTTATCTGTGGCCCCTTAATGTTACTTCAAATTGGAAATGTTCCAATACTTGTCTCAAATACTAAAGCTGCATTTGAAATTTTCAAAACACAAGACCTTGTTTTGTTTTTGTAATAGGCCAAATAGAAAGATGTTTGATATCTTTTGGTATGGTTCAAAAGATATAGCATCAGCTCCTTATATTATGGCCATTGTTGGAGACAAATCAAGAAGTATTTGTGTTTGCATCTTAGTAGGAAAAAAGTTCAACTTTAGCTTAGTGAGAAGTTGTGATAATGATTTAAAAAGATAAGAAAGTGTTGTCCAAATTCTTTGGTAGTACCAATGAATTTAACTAATTTGATATGTGAAACAAATTAGCTATTGGATTAAGATTAAACACTATTTTAACGGAGAGTATGTACATTCTCTTGGTTGGTTGGGAAGAGTTAATGGTTTATATCATATGGTAGTGCTAAAAGAGTGATTAGGTACTTGATGAGTTTTTGGATGAAGTTGTTGATGAACATGTGAGTCGTTGGTTGATTTTATGGATATTTTGCTTTGGATACAAAAAAGCAGATGCATTGGGATTTAAATTGAAAGAATACTTATTAAGGCCTTGATCACGGGAAGATGTAATACATATGTTTTGATTGATTGATTTGAATTTTTAAGCCAAAATCATGAACTAGGGGCGGACATTGGTTGGTCTTGGACTGAAACTGTCCAACGAATGAAATCGATGGATTTAAAAAATTGGTCTACTTCCGATCGTTGAGTGATGATTTTATTGGATGCGGGTTTCGTCGGATTTCAATTATTACTGGTGGATTTTTTTTTCGGTTTTCAGCTCACAGTAGTGGTAGATCTTTGAACTTATTATTATTTTTTTGTTTATTTTTTGTGCTCTTTTGTGCTCGTGTGAGTTTGGTGCAAAGAGCAAGATGAAGAAAGAAAGTAAATTTTTATATATTGCAAATAAAATATGCTAAAAGACAATCAAATTTTGTTCGATAAACACTCAATCTTTCTCAATCTTCTTCATGTGGCTATTGGAAAAGAAGAGGGAGTGTTTCTGTAAGACGGATTTGTGTTTGTGTGTTGTAACTTTGAGAGAAGAGAAATGAGTGAGATTTTTACTCTTGGGAGAGAGAAAAGAAATATGTTGAACCATAATGTCATACTGTAAAAGTAGAATACTGAATAGGACCAGAATTATTAAAAGCTAGAAAATAAAAAGATTAGATAGAAAGAAGTGTGAAACCTGACACTTTGTGGGTTTCAAGGAATAGGTATTAATATCATATATAATACTTTTTTTATAGAATAGTAATACTAAATACAATTTCGATATCATATAAAAAGATAATAAACGTGCCTTTTTTTTGTTGGTTTTGAACATCCGTGAGTTGGTTTTTAGCATCTGATTCTGACTAATTAAACTCATACATACTTGATTTTTTCATTATTAACATGTTAGGGTTTCCGCTAAACTGACGGCGGCGGTGCTCTGAGATGCAACAACGTTTCATGCGCAAATCCAATAGGCATTGTGTTACATATACATTTAAGGAATACTCATCAACCGCTCTTAACCTTTATAGAGAACATATTATCTGTTGATCCGTCAAATCGAGAGACAACAACCGTGGCCCTGAAAAGGGAGGTATGCTGGTTTTGGTGTATACTTCCAACAAGTAGTTATATAATCTGATTAAGATTAAGTCATGTCCTTCTTAAGTGTAATATTTGTGGTATATGTTTCCTGCCGTTAAAATCAGTAATACTCCTGATTTTTAAAATCAGTAATACTCCTGATTTTGTATTTTGATATTTTCTCCATTTTTTGTCAGTTATTCACATCAGAACCTTTGCCTTGTGATCAGTCAAGTTTACAAATATATCCTCCTAGCAAAGAGATTGATGCTAAAATGCAAAATGAAGGTGCCTGATCCGTCAAGTTTACCGAAGCCAATTGTCTTATCCGCATAGAGAACACATGTCTGGGATGCAGGTTACCCACACAAACAATTAGAAGATGCTAGAGAAATGGAAAACAATGTATCCTTCCATTTTTATAAGTGACCTTCACATTCAGGCCCATTGGCTCCCAATTCACGCTGGGCAAGTTATGATGTAGTTTCTATTTATCATGTAGTGTATCTTTAATTAAGATTTATATATCAATTATATCATGAATGATCAAATGCATGACAGTTCCACATCATCAATATATTGAAAAACTGAGATTTGATATGCATATTTTAGAACTCAAAAGCTGCCTCCAGTACCATATGTTGTATTAGTTTTTGCATTACTTTTGATATTGCATTAGTTTTAAATTTTAAGGTTGTCTTAGTTTTGATACTGCATTAGTTTTAAAATTGCATTACTTTTGACACTTCATTAAGTTTGTATAGTGAATTAATAAACTGATTGATAAAGTTGCATGTTATGTATCCTATGATGGTGATATGACACCAACTTTTGATGAATGAATTCATCTTCTAAGCTTAAGTTATATCCCTTTGTGTTGTACATAGGGCTGGCAATGAACCAAACCAACTCGAAGATAGTTCGGAATTCGACTCGACAATTAAATCGTTGAACTAGGTTCATGAACCAAATGAGTTGAGTATGAGCGAAAAATTAAGTTCGTTAACTAAATGAGCTGAACTTGAACTATACATAGTTCGACTCGTTAGGTTCATGAGTCAACTCGATTACATATGAAAAGAATTATACTGTCTTTAAGATTAGGTTTAAATATTTACTTTAAATCTTAGACAAATTTAATCTTAAATTTAGTAGTTTTTGAATTAGACTCTCAAATGTATCTCTTTAAAGTTGTGTAGGTTTTGAATTAGTAGATTTCGAAGATAAAGTTAAATTTCAATATGATAACTTTTATTTTATTTTAATATTTTATTTAAAAAATATATATTTATTTAAAATGTCAAACATACTAAAAAATATATATATTTAAAAAAATAGTTTTTAAGTTCGTGAACCACGTGAGATGAACCTAATGAGATGAACCTAACGAGTCGAACCGAACTGTTCGTGAACTTATAACGAGTCGAGTTTGAGCTTAAAAAAAAGTCCGTGTCGAACTCGAACTCGAACTCGAATTCAAAAAATTCTTAACGAGTCGAGCCGAGCTGAGGTGAGTTCGACTCGACTCGACTCATTTCCAGCCCTAGTTGTACAGTATACACTAGATGTGAAAGATATATAATTATTCTGTCCGTGTCTAATAAATTCTATTACTCCAGATCATAATGCTTCAAATTTTCCTACAAAGTTATAATTTAGTGTTTGACATCGTTTACATTGGAGTGCTAACAACTATGTATATATTGATTTGTTATATTTTGGATATTCATCAAAGATATTTTAAAGACTGTCATTTAGACATATTGAAGAGCTCACCATATGCGATGCCAAATGTCTTAGGATCCAAGTATCAAGGAATTGGCAGAACACTATTGGTTGCAACAATTGCACCAAAACTCAAGTAGTCAGAAAGTTCAATAGACCACTACTGGTTGCTAAATTCGCTATTTGGTGATGATGAATTTGCTGCTACTGGATATCTGTCATTTTGTTAGTGCGACTGATCATATGAAAATAAGTATGATCATGGTTCTCTATATATTATTGCAAGAATTGATTTAATATTTAATATGCCGTGGTTTAGAATGTAACACCCCAACCCCAAAACAAATAAATCCAAGAGAAAATAGATGAATATCAGAGTATTACACCAATACATCGGGATGTCACAGAAGAAAATCAGCCAAATACTTCCATAAAAATAATTTAACAATGTGTAAACATCTGTACTTCCGGAGAAGCACAGTTCACAATAAAAACAAAAGGGGTGAGAAATTACGAACAAAACATAAAGGTAATAGTAAGTATGAGTATAAAGGCAGTAAACACACTCCATAATAATCCACAAGCATCAATTCGGACCTACGGTCCCACACCATCATAACCATGCACACGACTATGCGACTCATGCAACTCAACACATGCAATGCGGTACCGACTCTCGGTTCATCATCGAACCCGGATAGATCACACAAGCCACTCTAGGCAACGATCTATCCCATCACTGAGTATATCTCATATGCCCCTCCGAGCAATATGATCAACCCCTTCACCCTCCCTTACGGAGTCCTGAGTATGTCTCACTTGCCCCTCCGAGCAAATGATCAACCCCTTCACATGCCATGCACAACACCATGACACCACAACAAATGCAAGCACACATGCTGCACATAATACACATATCACATCATCATGCATCTCATGCACCACATACTATATTTCAAGTAATTCACACCAAAACTCATGTACACATAATACATATCATTCTCATATTCAATTATACAATTACCTCGAGAAAACACACTCTCGTATCACATACACACTCACAGCAGTGCCCTGCTAACTCTCAGAGTCACCCACAACCAACAGATTTAAACGGCACAAGAACGGAACAGCACAGCATAGCTACCAAAATACTGTCATGCTCGCTGACCCATCGCCCAGCGAAGCACCAGCGAATGCTCGCTGCAAGTTCGCTCAGCGAACTGCCCAGCGAAGTCACCTGGGACATTCTGTTTTCGTTCGCTACCCTCCTCACTCAGCGACGACCTAGCGAAGACTCGCTGTGCACTCGCTTGGCGAAGAGCCAGCGAGTGTCTGCGATTTTTGAGAAAAATCACAGTTCAGAATCAGCTCCCGCTCCGATACCACCCGATTAAATTCCACGAAAGCCTGCACTATACCAGTATAGCAACTTACAACAAGGCTACACCAAACA